AAATTTTTCAAAAATGTACTTTTTTGGCTTGCCGCGGGCTATGCTTGCAGTAAATAGCAAATATGGGAACGTAAATGTAAACGAGTTATAGAAGAAGAGAAAAGAGAAGATTTTTAACGGTTTTTTCGATATATCTCGAAAAGTAAGAAAGCAATCGCAAAAAATCAGTCGATAGATCTTTTTAAAACCTACAACTTTCTTATTTAAAATTTTTCAATCGGTGCTATATTTTTTTAGTTAGTTTAGAAATACCGTTTTTTGCAACTTTGCGATTTTTTTAACCATGTTCGCCATTTTGGATCGAGTTTAAAGAACAAGAAACTCAATTTAAAATTTAATTTTCTATACGGTCATATTTTTTTTGTCCAGGTAATAATTTCTGCAAATCTAACATTAATCCGTGACAGTATGCTTGGACTACAAATCCAAAAATTTTTTCGATGCATTTATAAACAATATTTAGTTTTTGGAAATGTAATGTGAACCACTCAGTAGACTTATTTCTCTCTAAACAAGCAAAGCTGGATGGAAAGTATCGTAAAGTAATAAATACACTTAATTTCGGCTCGTGTGGTCTAGTTATTGAATTGCAAGATACCAGAAGTCGACGTTCGATCACGCTTCATGGAAACTTGGCTAATTCTCGGGGACCGATCTCTCCATATTCAGGCAAATCATGGCTGTTGACTTCTCTGCTGTGGAATCTGAGTGTTATTTTAGATTTATGAAAGGCAACTCGTTGTCGTGTCCCAGTTCGAATTTCGTAGCATTTTTGACATTTTCACGGAAAAATTTAGAACTGGGTTGATATCGAGTTTTTTTTAAATTTAATTGAAAATGTAGACTTTGGTCCAATTATACAAACCCACGTAATCTGAACCATTGTACTTTCACTACCACTATAGACGTATATTTGTTGCAATAAGCATTTTTATCTACAAATCGCCTGACAATCGATTGGACTTATCACCACGACCACCCTAGATATTTTGATCCGAAACGCCTACAAGCCTTTCACACATACCTATAGCTTGACTATTCATTATATTTAGACAGTTCGTCCTTGTTGTAGGCAGCAGCGGAGGAGAGAGCTATCTCGGAAGTCAGGATAATGGGTTCAGACGTATGTCCGACTCCCAAAAGTATCCGCTTACAACAAATTTAAACAGAAACAGGGTAAACAAGATATCAAGCAGCTACTTGAATCTGACAAGGGAGGAGACCGTACCCACGAAGGAAGTAAGTGATGGCTATTTGTTTTTAATTTTTTTTTAACTTCGCCAACGTAGAGATGAAGTAATATCGTCTCGTATAGTTTTCCCACGAAGAAAAGTCAGGAGGATGAAATCCAAAAAACAGTCATTCTTTTTGTTCAATCAGAAAAATTTATTTTTATTTAAAGATTTATAAATAAAAAAAAATCATATGATAAATTAGAAATTTTATAAAATATAACGCCTAAAATTGGACTAATTAAATTATACATCTATACAGGGTGTTCCAAAAAGACTCAAACGTTGCGATGACTTTTTGGGATGTATAGAAAGAAATGTCACATAAAAGTTGTGGGAACTTGAAAATAGTAAATGGAACACACTTTTTTTTATACCAGCAATTGATAAATCGCGAAATTTTACTTCTAAAACTGGTATCAGAAAATTTTTCATCTGTCTTTGCAGGTCAATTCAACAAAATTGTTTGAAGCAAAATTTGTAAGATTTTGAATGAAAAATTGTGGTGACCTTGGATTTCTCTTTTGCAAGTTGCAAGGTCAAACTAAGGTCAAATGGAGTAATCTATTTTTGACGCTGGCAATTGATAAAGCGCCTAATTTTACGCCTAAATGGGTATCAGAAAATTTTTCTTCCTTGCGGGTCATCTCGGGTCAAACTTATTTTTTTTTCTGACAACTCAACAGATATGTTAGAAATGAAAAATTTGTAATATTTTCAATGAAAATTTAGATGGTGACCTTGGATTTGCCTTTCAGGAGTCGCAAGGTCAAATTAAGGTCAAATGGAGTAATTTATTCTTTACGCTAGTAATCTATAAAGCGCCAAATTTTTCGCCTGAATGGGTATCAGAAAAAATGTTTTCTATGTCCTTGCGGGTCATTTAGGGGTCACTTATTTTTTTTTCTGAACAACTCACCAAAAATGTTGGAAACGAAGAATTTGTAAGATTTTGAATGAAAAATTAGATGGTGACGTTGGATTTGTCTTTCACGAGTTGGAAGGTCAAATTAAGGTCAAGTGGAGTAATTTATTCTTTACGCTAGCAATCGATAAAGCACCAAATTTTTCGCCGGAAAGGATATCAGAAAATTTTTCTTCTATGTCCTCGCGAGACATTTGGGGGTCAAACTCATTTTTTTTCTGAACATCTCAACAAAAGTGTTTCAAGCAAGCTTTGCAAGATTTTAAATGAAATATTAGATGGTGACCTTGGATTTGACTTTCACCACAAGATGCAAGATCAAACAAAGGTCAAATGGAGTTAGCTACTCTTTACGCTAGCAATCAATCAAGCGCTAAATTTTACCCCTGAAATGTGTATCAGAAAACGTTTCTTCTGTGTCCTTGCAAGTAATTTAGGGGTCAAACTCATTTTCTTTTCTTGAACAACTCGACAAAAATGTTTCAAGGAAAATTTTTAGGATTTTGAATAGTGAGCAATTTGTCGCTGCTTTGAATTTGTTGTTATGAACTACAAAAAGCATTCCACAAACTTTCTTTTGAATTTTAATGAACCTAAATGATTTTATTTTATGACAAAAATGTTTCTCATGTTTCTTTTACAAAATATTGAATATACGCATCTGTCTCAATTTTGTGACGACACATCTCGCCCATTTTTCTAGTAACTAACCAACTAATTCGAAATTTAAAGACGTGCTTGGAATCAGGTGGTTTATTTTTCTTTTTTATTCATAATGGCGGCCACCCATCAGTTCCGGATCGCCCTGTACACGGAAAACGAGCCCGTCTCGAGCACATTATAAAATTACCGTTTTGTCCGCAGACCCCTGTGGACATGAGCGCCACGCCGCTCCTGGACGTGTCGAACCTGGAGAGCCGCCTGTACAACAAGAGAGAAAGAGACCCCATCTCCCCCACGTCGAACGCCGCCGCCGCCGCCCCAACCGCAACGGCCGCCGCCAGCACGTACGACTACCACGCCGCCCAGCTGGAGAGGTTCCTGGAGGAATACCGCTGCCTGCAGAAGCAGCTGACCAAAATGAAGGAGACCTGCGACACCCTGTGCCAGGAGAGGGGGCAGCTGCTGACCACGTCGCCCGTGACGCCGTGCTCTTCCGACAGCGTGAAGAACAGTTCGCAGTCCACTATCGCGGCGGGATCTCCCAATTCGACGCAGTCGCTGGAGGACTCGGTGGATTTTCGGAATTTCGAGAACGAACTTACGAAGTATCTTCTGTCGAAAGGTTTGTCGCAGAACTTCGGCGGTGGCGCTTTCAATAACTGAGTTTTGTAATGTCGCCTCTTTCAATTATTCAAAATTGCAGTTGGAGATGAGACACTTTTGTGTTAAGCCGGTTAAGGTCCACCTAAAAATTCTGGAATTTTCGTAGATCTGATAAAGCGGAGCGCAGCGGAGCTGGCTCTGAAATTTCCAACTTAGTTAGGTTAGGTTTTTATAACCTATAAAAGGTTCTGTTGTTCGGTTCTATTGCACGATTTCATTAAAAAGGCACACGAGTAGGATTTTATTAATTATAGTCCGAGCATTATACAAGGTGTAAGAAGTTTGACTGCCATTACTTCAGCGTGAGATAGATTAATCATAAATGAACAAAAAAGTTGTTATTACAGAGGCGTAAAATTAACAGTTTTCAAAATACAGCGAGTATTAATATTGGGGAGTTTCATCACAACGTGGCAACAGCGCTTAACACGTGTGCACGCGGTAGACTTGTCCTATGGAAAAAATGTAAACAACTATTATTGTGAAACGTTTAGTAAATTTCAAGACAATTGTTTTCTAGTTTTAAATAAATAAAATAAAATGTATCGATTTTGTAGTACGAAGATAGTGTTGTGCTTAAATTTTAGCTCGAATTTTATTAATTATGAATCTCTTAAAACAGGAACTTGAATTTAATCAAACTATGAATTTGAAAATATGTAATTAAAATACCCAAAGATTCACGTCGTCCAAATAATCATACGTATCAAAAATAATTTAGGGACTTGCCAAAATGCAAATTTCAGTAATTTTTAAACGCACAAGTACCAAGCTACGACATAAGCTCAAGATGTCCACCACCATTTTCGATGCACGACACCTTCGAATCCAATCTTCCTGCACTCGCTGGAAAACACCTCAGGAAAAGGAAATAGTGGTGCGCAAAAAACACTCCTACGCGGTCAAATTCCACTTCGTGTTATCCGCCGCGCCGTTGTCACATCGCTCGCCATGAATTTTATCGAATTTTAAATTTATTACAGAGCTAATTATTTTTTTTAGAATTAAGCATACAGAAGTTCAAAAAAGTGATAAACTTTGTATTTTATGCCAATATTTCTTAATTAATCGAACTTTTTCCCCAATTCCAATTAAATAAGCCTTTAAATCGAAATTTTGGTCAACTTACCTGAATTTTTGATATGAGTTTCTTATGACTATTATTAAAATTAACAGAGTTAGGGAGGTTAGAAGTTAAGGGAAGATTTCAGAAATTTAAAAAAATCATAAGCTGAAAAACGAATAAATTTTATAATTTTTTTTTCGATCTACTCTAAAAAATGTAATCTTTCTTTTCAGAGAAATAGATATTTTTTTAATTTTTAATAAGAAAGTTATAACAATTTCAAATTTGTTATTCACCCCCCTAAACAGAGATTTTAACGAAAACCCCGAAACAGGTCAATTTAATTTTGTCAATTTGTTTACATAAACCATATTTTTAAGTCTTTTTGAGTAAATACGATTTTTTTATAAATAAAAAATATAGCTTTTCTGAAATAAAAAATAAGGGTAGCAACCCCCAAACACGGAATCACTTGCGAAATATTTGTTTTTTATCATAAGTAATTTCCATTTCGTTTAATTTCAAAATATTGATTAGAACCCCAGAAATTTTGAAAAAACTGTTTTGGGGGGCGAACTTTGAGGGTGTATTTGACCCCGTAAATATGTTTTTCCGCCGATAAAAAAAATACGTGTCTCTTTACATTTTTTAGAGTAGATTGAAAATAAAAATTACAAAATTCATTCGTTTTTCTGCTTGTTATGATTTTATTAAATTTCTGAAATCTTCCCTTAACTTCTAGCCTCCCTAAGTCTGTTAATTTTAATAGTACAAAAAAAGTCAAGATGCCATTTTATGTAGAATTGTATGCTTTACAATTTTTATCCTTCTTTGCATAAGCATAAATGCGATTGTCTCTCTCTCTCTCGTATCTGCTTCTTGAGACGAGGCACATTTGACATACGACTACTGCTTTAGTCAACTCTCCAGTGTTTTTAGGTGGACCATAACAATATAATTTACCTCGCTATGGCAACATTTAATGAAAATTCAAATTCAAATGTAAAATGACTCATTTATTATTCGAAGATATTATTTTTTTAGCCATATTCAGGATGTACCAATTAAATAAAACTCCTCAGACCGATATTTCGATATTCAAAAGAGATATCTAATTGTAAGTTCTATAAAAAAAAAATGGAGTGCAATGCACATAAATAATTCCAATTCTAAATGCATATTTCAGTATTCTTTCATAGCTGTGTCTGTTCAAAAAAAATTATTAATTTTATACAAATTTGTAAAATTTGCAGCAATTATTGAAAATTCACTGGTTTTATAACACAGTAAAATGAAAAACAAATGTTTCGTTACAAATCAAACAAAAAATATAATTTCTGGTCAACTTTATATATATTTTTTTAAATATTTCAGAATTTAATATCTCGGAAACAGTGAATTGAATCATTTTGTGAAAGTTCACGTCATTGAAAAGTTTCTTTATTTTATCGTTACTTGAATGAACTACACATTATTTTGTATATTTTAGATATCTATTTTGGATTTCGAGATATCGGCATAAAGAATTATAGACGGGACACCCTGTATGTAAAAATAAAAATGAATGTATTTCCAAAAATGAAAATCAAATTATCAAATTTATGACTGTTTAAATTTAAATGATGAATTTATTTTTAATTGAAAATTTTCATTCTAAATTAAATTGAGAATAAAGTTATACAAATGCTACTTTCTGTACTCATATACAGGGTGATTCACAAATGGTGACCAAAATGAAAGCTCGTGTTCTTTGGTGAATTTTAAGGGGACTCTTTCCAATAAAGTTTTTATCTAGGACGCTTCGTTAAAGAGATACAGGGTGTTAAACTTCAAAAAATATTTTTAATTTTTTTAAATACATAATTTAAAAACTAGTAAGTGAAATAGTTTGAAATTGGGTGCATATATTTATGTAAACATTGTCCAAAATCTGAGGGCTTTTCCTAAAATTTTCTCCAGTGACGGAGATACCACCGATACCCTTATCGGTGGCATATTTTTCTAAATAAATTAATACGCCACTGCTTTACGGTAACAACCAGGATATTTTCGGATTCGTCTTTCAATTTTCTATAAATTACTACTCTTTTATGTTTTTCGAAAGAACACATTTCGATATTCGAATATAATGCTTTTCAAAATTACATAGTGGGCTGCGATAGCAACTTTGACATTCTGAGCAGTTAGGAGAAAGAATAAATAATGCTTTTCATCAGATTCAAGCAACAATAAATTTCTAATAATTTACATTTTCGTTACTAAAATGATGTCGGGTCTATGTTCGTGAAAATTGCGGTATTTTTGAGCATTTACTCAAATAAAATCATTAAAATGATGACTAATGTTATTAATTTCATTATTCGAATAAATAACCCAATGATTAGTGCTTGTTATTTAAGTACAAGTGTTTTCAGTTGGTTTTATAAGTTTTACTCGAAAATCAGGCTTTTTTTCGAAATAAAAATGAGAGTAGTAATTTGTAGAAAATTGAAAGACGAATCCGAAAATGTCATGGTTGTTACCGTAAAGCAGCGGCGTACTATTTTATTTAGAAAAATATGCCACCCATACCCTTTATCTCCGCCACTGGAACATGTAAATTTTAAGAAAAGCCCTCAGATTTTGGACAATGTTTACATAAATATATGTGCCTAATTTCAAATTATTTCACTTACTAGTTTTTAAAGTATTTAAAAAATAAAAAAAATTTCTTTGAACTTTAACACCCTGTATCTTTTTAACGAAGCGTCCTAGATAAAAACTTTATACGAAAGATTCCCCTTAAAATTTGCCAAAGAATACGAGGTTTCATTTTTGGTCACCATTTGTGAATCATCCTGTATATGAGTAGAAAAACTGGCATTTGCTCAACATGAAACAGTTTTTATAAATTTTATCGAGCTACGTATATTAATTCCATTTTAGTTATTTCCAACACTTACCAAATAATAAATAAATAACACAAAACAAACACAACTAAAACTAAAAACAAATGTAAACAATTAACAGACCGGTCATTTTGATCTCAAAAATACACGACTGGCGACTGGCCAAACTAATCGAATATTTTCAAGTCTCGCATTTCCAATTCAACAATTCTCATTACTACAACACGGATGAAGTGGAAGCTTCGTCCTGATATTCAATTAACTTGTCCCAAAACTGTACTCGCTGTGAATTGTATTTAAATATATTCCTAAGAGTAAATATAGGGTGAATCTTTCTTAGTGGTGGGTTTTGGAAATTGAATGTGAGGCCGTATCTTTGATCTGTTTTTATACGAGCGTTAATCCAAGTAAAAGATTGACACGCTTACAATATTCACCCTGTATATATTTCGACTCGTCTACGAGCTAGCAGGCCCTAGCTTAACAATAATGTAATTTTTACAGAACTTTTGTATTTACCGAATTTTAGATTTTTGTAAAAATGATGTATAAATGAGAAAAGGCTCCTGTAAATAATATGTCTGATATACATTATTCTTATTTGTTAAGTGTTATAGGCGTAGGTACATATAAATTTGTGATATTATATAGGCATAGAGACACGTTTTTAAAAATATGTTGGCTGTTCGGTCTTCAAGTAACAACATAACACATATCCCAATAAATTTATAAGTTATCTGAATAAATGATTTTTCGTTATTTAATGGCTCGTTTGTTATTACCACCGCTCCCACCTTTACCTCGAAAACTGAAGAAAAAAATCAACGAAGCATTAAAAATTCATTTTTTGTTTCAACACCCTGTACCTCGAAAAAAGCACACAACATATTTATTTTAAAAGTCTAGTATAGATAAAATATTTTCGTCTTTATTTTAACGATNATTTTTTGTTTCAACACCCTGTACCTCGAAAAAAAGTACACAACATATATATTTCAAAAGTCTAGTGAGGATTGCTTTCGCTGTACAGCAAAAATAAAACGCTC